AATTTTTTTATAATAAAATCTTGCTATTTTAAAGAACATTAGATATGATAGGTTTTTTTTTTTTAGGAGGTCATAATTTTTGAAGAGGCAGCATTTGAACCCATCTTTATCTTTCAATAAGACGTATAATTATCGAGTCAATAAATTTAGAAGTTGATTGGTTCGCTGTTATTTATATTAAGAAGCGTGAATGACTGAATGTACATCAACACGTTCGATGAAATAATAGTAGTAAGATTTCATTTTCAGAAAACTCCAAAGGAGTCTCTTTCCATAGTTCCTATCAACGCGCCGGCGCCACGCACTTCCCCTTCCCCATTTTCTGCCCTGCAAACGTAAACTGTTGATTTTCAATTCCATTTTCTCAATCATTTCTACCGTGAAGGACAATCCATCCATAGTGCGTATTTTTTGGTTTGAAAAGTTCAAACGTCTTTGAAATAATTTTTATATCTTTGAGATCAATTTTAAATAATCTTAAGAACAATTTTTTTTATAGAAATTTAATATATTTAAAAAATTAACGATTTAAATAGTTTAGTGGTTATTTTCTTCTACTGAAAGTAAAGGATCTTAAATTCGAATTATATGATATACGGATGTGATAAAATAAAAAATAAGAGGTAGTTGTTTTTCATTATGTAATTAAGATAAAAAATATATATATTTAAAAAATAATTTTTTTAATATTAATATTAAGATTTGAATCTTAAATTTAATTTATAAAATGTTATTTATTTTATGAATAAAATCAATACTTGAGGTTTAAGTGCATACAAATTATGATAATTCAAACCTCCTATCTACATACAATTTCTTGTTTGAAAATGATTAACACGTACAAATATTTTTACAATAAAATTTTATAATTTTAATTATCGAGAATTACAGTTGGTTTTCTTTTATTATTTATTAAAAATTATAAATTTATATATATTATATGTAATTTTTTCATTCAATCTCATAAAAGTATTAAAATTTCATTTTCAAAAAGTTCCAAAAGAGTCACTTTCCATAAGGTTACTATTAACACACGGGTGCCGCGTGTGGGTTGCAACTTGCAAGCAAACGAAGGAGGAGAAAGTCTTCATGGAAGAAGATAAGGGATTGAGGAAACAGGGAGATGTTTCTAGAGGAAACGACTAATGTGAACATGCAAAAGTATTTTCATTGATGTGTTACGGTGGCTGGATCGAAGTTGGTGATAGAAAGAGACTGCTTGCAGTATATGGGTATTCTAGTATGTGTATTTTTATTTTTATTTTTTCTTTTTAACTCGAAGTGTAAATTTTGCTTGGTGATGAGGTTATAGCAATTTTTCTTACACTTAGTTGACCAAAAAAGAAAAAGAAAAAGAAATAAGATTGCTTGTACAATTCATACACAAATGCTAAGTTTCAAGATCACAATGGCAATATGTTGTGAATATATATACAAGAAGCAACTTGGAAATTAAGCACTTTGTGCTTATAATTTCCTTTGTTTAAATGTAAATAATTTAACTTATCACGTAAATCAATAATAAAAAAATATATGCCACATGAATTAATCACATCGTGATTCATATATGTTTATCGACGAAGAGTGCATAAAAGGTGTCCATAGCCCTCTTCTCGATAAGAATCCAGTCATTTATGCTCCATTTCTTTACGTATGTTTTTTTTTTTTCATGGTCTATTTATTTATTTATTTTGATTGTATAATAAGGTAATAATCTCCCATTACTAACTCTACTTTATCCCACTTATATATCATGCGATTTAAATTCATAATTTTTTACTTCTAATAAAAAGAGATAATTAAGTTATTTAAATAATTAACAATAAATTTATTTATTTAAAGTACGGAGCTCGTGGCCTTATCTAGCAGACTAGCAGTATTGAGTCTTCGTGGGCTTCTAATGAAAGGGATAAGAACTCAATTAGGGCCCAAAATTTAAAAAAAGTGAACCCTCTTATTACCCATGACTAAGGACTCAATGTGGTGGCCCAAGCGGATGGACTTTTATTTCCATTGTTGCATCCCGCGTGATGCTTCAACGTACGATGCCACGATATGAATATGACATGTTTTACCTAACTTTATATGCAGAGGAGCATGGTCGATCCCGGTAGCTCAAACACATCCTTTGGTGGCAAGAAAGTCCGGGACCTTGACATTCCAGGTAAAATAAAGCTTTTTTATCTAGAGTGCCCATCGTAATGTTCTTTCTATCAAGGATAATCTGCAAAAGAAGCGTATAGCAATGGATTTGGAGTGCCCCACATGTGGTTATGAACTGGAATTGATGGTACACTGCCTTCTGTTTTGCTCTACCGCCCATGCATTGTGGCATGAAAGCCCCCTTAATCTTCGAGTATCTGAACTCCCTTTTCAATTCTATGGGTGCTGACTTGGAGAAGGAACAACTGGAACTTTTATGTACGCTAAGTTGAAGGATTTGGAGCT